CTGAAGGTAAATGGCTTTCTCATCTGTTCTTAAAATCGGGTGAGGTTCATTTCTAATCAGGAAAAAACTACTCTATAGAAAGACCTCAACGAAGACAGAATTATTATATTGGTTTTTTGTCATCTTTTTGTCCAGTTACAAATATCTGATGAACATGCAGGACGGAAATAATTCAAAACTTTTGATAGGCAGGCTTCACAAATGATTTGACTTGGATAAAGTGCGGAACATTTTGAGTGCTACTTCAAAGTAGAAAATGAGAACATATTGGCTTGGCCAGAGACTTGTAGCTTAAAAATAACCCGTCTGTGGATCTGTTCAAGCGTTTTTGAAAGAGTTTTTATCGTGATCGTGCAAGGATCATGGCTATTATCCCACACCAGACATAAATATAATGTGTTTTTTTTTCTCGATTGAACGTGCCTGCGTACTTGTACATTCCGCACACACTTTCTTTGTAGGGGTATAATACCCAAGTAATTAACATAAGAGTTTTCGTCTATTATTGATATTATTGACTAAATGATATACCTATAGGAAGTATATAAAGCTTCACATAGTATTTTTTTTTAGATATAAACTCATGAAATATTTATAAATTTTGAAATTGTATATACTTAACAGATCTTGTAAATACGCATTATGTTACCAGATAACATTTATCTATTCATATTGCTAAAAAGAAATAGGGTGATGTGGTATGATTACCAATGAGATAGCTATCCACCATGACCAAATGACGAAGATGCATGCAAACACATTTAGGTCTGAGACTCTCCATAAGGTAAATGTACACATGAGACAATGAACCAAACCAATAAAGTATAGCTATAATAGTAAGATTTGAAGGCCCCGGAATGAGAAATGTGAAAAAATTTATTAGAGAAAAAATAATGTTCGTTTTAAGCTTAAAAAGCAATAAACGAGAAATAAATATGGAAGACTACAAACAATGTTTGATCATGTCCTATGGGTTGAAGACCACCCATTTTGACTTTAAGGTCAGTATAGGTCAAAGTCAACTTCATAGCACTCGACGGACATAAAATTTTGCAAAACGTTTTGTGTTGGAATAACTTGTTTGAACCATATTGCCCATCCAACCGACACCAAACTCAACTTGCATTAGCCCGTTGGACAGAACAAGACCTGTAATAATTTAGAAGTCTTGATCACTGTGAATATTAAATCACTAAAACTTGGTGTAACCTTCTCGTTTCTGTACTTTATAATTAAAACCATTATCAAGATGAAAAATGCCAGGGCCAAAGATGAATTCTACATCGCCGAAGGTGTAAACGGTTGTCAGTGTAACTCTGACTTCGACTAAAACAGACTTTAGCAGTTTTAATAGTTTATCTTATTCTTCGTCTGTTGCCGATACCATTCTGTGATATAAAATGTACATCTACTCGGATTGACGGCATTGCGCAATACTGTAACTCGCCTATTTTAAAAAATAACGCAGGTGCCGCCAGTTTTGAAGAAAGACCCGCGCTAAAATTGTAAGTTTCTTTGCTAATACACTTCACTAAAATGCGGTCATATTTAAAACACCACCCCTTGCTGACAATCTAATACAGTAAAAACAGCGAATTTCATACCCGGTTCAGTTATGTGTTGTTTGGTTGCTGTTTTATTGATGCTTACCTTACATTTCCTTTTATTCATATTAATGTTTTATGTGTCAAAAAGTTGTTATCTATTTACTTAACATTGAAAATATTATCGTACTTTATAGCTGATGTTTATCATTAAAAAAAACTCTATATCACGGCACCCCCGTTTTCTTAAAACAATAATTGTCATTTGAAAAATACAAAATAATGCAAAAAAGTAAAACAAAAACAAAAACAAAAACAAAAATCGTTTTCCATACATAATACGTAACAAGCTATTTCTTTCAAAGGTAAGCATACGATGTATATGGTTTGAAAACCTTATATAGTATACAATTTGCCAAATTTCCTCAGAGAAGGTATATATTTTGGCAAAAATCTGGATCGTTAGATGCGTATTATATACGTTTGTAGGGTTTTGGGCATTTGTCGTCCCTTTTGAAGTTGTGATCTGCATTTAATAAAATCAAATCGTCCAAAAAAATTTAAACAACGACTCAATGATAAATTGAGTCTTCATCATGGTTTTTTCCTGAATACGAACACAAATTTTGCAAATTTCCGTATTACTATACCTTTCTCATGAAACAATTTATAAATATAATTTTGCATCGCAAATTCTGTAATCTAACCGCAGTCTAGTAAATATAGTCTAGCCTATTGGGATATTAGCCCTCGTTGGGACTGAGTGAAGCCCGCACGTTCGTTGAGGCGTCGGGATGAATTCTTAGATGCAACTATTCCCTTTTCTCTCCTAGTAATGTTGTAATATAAAAGGGGGATGGTTGAGATAAAAAAAAATTAATTGAACCCCGTTACATTATTCTAAACGTGTATGTGTGTCCCACGTCAGGAAAGTTGTCGTTTATTGGTTGAATGTCATATCGAAATGTACCCCCCCCCCCTTTTTCCAGCCTTTATTTAGAGATCTTAATTACAGATCTTTGATTGTTTCTGTTGAATCTATATATATCTTTCATGGAATCGAGACAATTGAGAACGAGACATATTGTATGGTCACCAGTCTATTTGTCGAAGACTATATGTCTGCATCAAGATGTTTATTTTTGTTATCGGTCGTTGGGCTGCTGTTCCATTGACGTATAATCCACATCTGATTCTCTCTCTATTTCACACCTCATTATCCGTGTACACTGCTGGCAGAAAAAAATAATATACAAATCTGATAGCACTTATAAGACATATTGTGAGGACATTCTTTCTTTTGTTGAAGACTAAACGTCTCCCTCTAGATTTCTTTCAGTTATTCTGTAGTTGGGTTGCTGTCTCATTGACGTACACCTCACTTCTCCTTTTATTCAAGCAGCACTTGATTTTGCGTGTGCACTGATGACTGAATTTTCTTGTTTTGTTTTGTTTTGTTTCAAAGATAGAGGATTAATTTGTTTGTTTTCTGCTTTATGTCACAGTGGCAAATGTTTCAAATAAAGTGGCACTCATTTCATAGCAAAACTACACCTTATCCGGACGCCTTGACTGTGATGAAAAATTCAATATATCTTTAGTTGCATATCAGAGCGCACTGGTTCCCGAAAGTTGGGTAGTATAAAAACAGGTACTTCTGATCAGAGCAACAGGGCAAATATGCCCTATCCTAATTTCATATATTTATTTTATTATTCATGACAAAATTTCATCAAGGGTTCTATAGTGATGCCAAGACGTGGAGTTTTCATTTGATACATGTAATAATCTGACATATCCACTTAAATTTCTGTTCAGCCAATTTGATTGAGATAGATTGATTGGTTGATTGCTATAGCGTCGCAATTTGGGACTGCAGGAATTTCATTTATTAATGCGATTCAGATGGGACCTTGCTGTTTTATTTTCCTTGGTGCAGGTAAGTAAACTCCCAACCCTGCTGCCGTCATGTGCCGTGAGAGGTATTGGATTGGTGCCAATTATTTAGCATACACAGTAGAAGGTTATGATATTTTGCAAGACACTGGCATATGTTAGTAAACAATGGACCATGTCGAATTAACCAGAGGCTAAATTGACCTAAGATAGATTTGGTTATTGTTCAATTACGTCATTTTTAATAATACATGTACATACAGTATATCTCTCTGAGTAGTTATATACCTTTTCTTTCACTATTTTGGGTATGAGTATGAACGTTCCGAACTGGTCCTGTTAATTTAAAAAAACGACGTCAAGTTAGCTTTCCATAGAGTTGTGGATGGTAAACTATTATACAGATGCTTTTTCTAGTATGTTTATGCAAGTCTAACACAGAAAAACACGAAAACAATTCAAATTTAAAGAAAACAAAACAAGGAATGAGCTTTCAAATTAACAGCAAACTGAATTTTCTGCATTTTGAAGGACACTTTCAACTTTTTTGGACCTGTACCTATTTCCCGATCTATCATGGACCACAACTCCTGAACGAAAAAAATGAAAATCGTCAATATCAAACTTGACAACCATTTTGTCATCAGTTACAGCATATTAAAAAATTTTTGCGACATGTGTGAAACGTTTCATACGATAATTGCACGGAAATAACAATAATGTCATTTTACAATCTTTCATCAAGAACCATAAAGTTCAGTCTAGACGGTAAAAGGGAAAATCGTCAATATTAAATTGATCTTGACCTCCATTTTGTCACCAGAAACAACTTAAAACTAGACAAAGTGATGCCCCCGCACTCCACTCTGAAGTAACTGTATTATAACAAAGTCAATGTAGGACTTTCTTTGAGAAATTATTGTGTCTGGGAGACACAAATGATGCCCCCGCAGATGCAAAGTGTTATTTTAGAATATACAAAGTTGAGCATGGGAGCACATAGGTCTATTGTTCACTTTAGGCGGAGTTATCCGTAAACGCTATGCACCTCTTATGCAAGTATTTACTCCAAAAAAGACAAAATTTAACTATTTCCCAAAAGAGCAAATATTAATAAAAATCAAAACCCTGACCACATGCACACCTTCAATGTGTGTTATAGTAGTCTCAGACCTCAATTATGTCATTAGTATCACAATTAAAATTTGAAGAAGCATTGGTTGTACTGTTCATAAGTTATTGCACGCCAAACCTTTGACTATTATGTCAATTTATTATGTCCCAGGCCAAACCGTGATTCCACGCCCTCCGTACTTCACCAATTTAATAACTGGTTCCTTCATTCGGAAGACCAAGTTAGAAGATAACGGATTTTGGAAAAGGAGGGGGAAACAAAAATATCTTGGCACTAAGTACCTGTTGTCTAGATAGAGCCCTGTTCTAATTAATTTTATTAGTCCGTTATTATCCTTTCAATATTTCTCATTTTGGTTGGTGTTTGGTTAGATTAATGCAATTAGACTGTTATAAAAACGTCCCTCTTTTCGTAATAAAATTTATAGGGAGAGAACATTACGGGGAACCAGAACAAAAGTGTAAAAAAAGTCACATGACAACAAATTACAGTTAACTAATGGATTTCCAAAACGATATTAATATGATTTGTTTCCTTAGGGGTTTGCAACAGTAAATCAAAATGCCTTCTCTTCGTAAAGTTAAAGATTTTCTTGGGAACCACAGGAAATTTTCTTCCATTCAGAAAATACTTTTCCTTTTCCTAGGGTTAGGAATTCTAGCTGCATTTTCATGGAAATTTATGCTAAGCTTTTTGTGGTATGTCCTGGTAGTAGGGTCAACGATCGGTGTTTGTCAGTATTTGATAACATCAAAACACAACCAAACCTTTCTGTTGAAAATATATTTATACGTTTGTAGACATGAAAAGGTGATAATCAGTTGTTTAAGCTTTAAAGAAAAAATTCAAGAAATATTCACTGTTCAAGTTGTTGAGGGAGAAGTTTTAAAGGACCCTAGTGAAAAAAATCAGGCAGATGAAAGTGAACGTTTTTATGATGCAAAAGATTCATATTTCCCCAATGAACAAGAAAATTACCAATCTAGCATGCAGATGTCTGATAAAAGTGTTGCTGCATGTACAAAAGTTTCATGGCTTGAGGAGGTTGAAACCATTTCTGATTTGATTCAAAAACATTTCATTTACTCATGGCTAAAGGACTTTGATCCCCACATTGATGTTCTAACCGAATGTGATAAAGTATTGAGAGATGGCATAATAAGTTTTGCGTACAAATTAAAAACGGTAGATCCAAGTGATTTAGTTAGGGAAATTTGCTTAAATGGCTGTCAACATTTACGAACGCTTCAAATATCGCGAGATAAATACAAAATTCAGCCAAGAAGAAGACTCAGCTCAGGAAGAAGGGACTCTGGAAGTCTTTCTTCATTAAATCGGAGATATGCTTCAGTCGAAGAAGCGTTTGAAATGATTTCAACCTACCATATAGGTCTATATGGACATGAGAATGAAAATAGCTATCTATTTAGTGTCTGTGATATCATATTAAAAAGGACATTTGGTGGTATATTTTTAAATTCACAAGTGCTAAACTATATACTATCAGAAATTTTAACATGCAATGTATTGTTGCCAGTTTTAGACCTTTTATCGGAACCAGATTTTATTTACGAAAAAATTATTTTGATTTTGTCTGATGAGGCACTTGATATACCTGTAGATGAGGAAGATTTTGTTGAAGAACTGAGTGAAAAATTTCAGATGGGTGATAATCAATACAGTCATGACAGTTCTGATAATACTTCTAAACATTTAGGCTTGCAAAATGAAAACCCACCTGATATAATTGAAAATCAAACTGCCTCTTCAATCAATTTTTCATCTATATCACAAAACGGTGCTACGGAAATAAATTGTGATGAAAAGTTTGTACCTGTTATTCCAATGGCCCTCATAGAGCCAGCTACAGCCCTGTCAGTGTCTGAATCAGACCAACCTTCACCTGTCGAAACAGGTTCTCCAGTACACAAGCTCAATGAAATGAAAACATCAAAGCCAGATTTTTTCCTCAGCTGTTCTGATGAGGATAAACCTGACATGCCTGATCCATATATGAACAGTTTGGAAATCATCGAGCCCAAGCCAGCAATATTTCTGGATGTTTGTATTATTGATAGTGAAATTAGAAATGAAAGCAGAAGTAATTCACAGTTTGTGCTATATGTAATACAGGTAAAAAATTAAATTGACCTTTCATGTCTAAGTCTTTAGCATATTAAGTTATATGTAATACAGGTAAAAAATTTAATCTACCTTTAGTTATAAAAGTAATACATGTAAAAAATTAAATCTACCTTTACATTCTTTAGTTACAAAATGTACATGTATAGTCAAAATTTTAGTACAGGTAAACAAACTGTATTTAGTAATAAGAAGCATGTACATGTAATTCAACTCCATGCCCACACTTTGTGTGATTTTCTTTAGCATCATGATTATGTTTAGTAAAAATAATTATTAATGATTTTTTCCATGAAATAATTATGATAATTTTGTGTTGAACATATGCATGATATGCATGCATGTTTAATATGTTGAAGACAAATTTAAATGTGATTTTGATTCTGGGGGATCTCAGCCTTCACCTTCATGACCTTGGCATTGCATTACTATACATGCTATAAAGCATACACTATAGGCGATTCAGTCAAACATCACTTTTGCTGTTTAATATATTGAGTGAGTCATTGTGAATCAGGGTGATGGGGGATTATAGATTTGAGGGGATAATACTCATTTACAAGCTAGGGGCCAGAAAGGGATGGGGAAACTGGGAAGGAGGAGCAGGAAGCTGGAGTCGAGGGATAAAAACTTGGAGAAGAGGAAAGGGAACTGGGAGAAGAGTGGAGTAAAAAATAGGGATATGCTGGGAACGTTTCTTGACATGTTTTTTTCTGAGAGAAAAAGGGGGGGAGTGGGAATCAGGGACCCCCTGTCCATTCCTCATTAAAAACCATGTGATATACTTTCTACTGTAGAACAGAGAGATAATTCAAAGTGAACCATCCCCAATGCCTAGCTTTAACTGTGGAAAATCAGCACCATGAGTGATTGTGACAAAATGCTAACATGTGTATTTGTAACATGTGCAGTGTACATTTATCTATCATCCGAGAGAATAAATTGGCCATGGACAGGCTGGGGATTAGGAGGCTATAGGTGGCCTGATCCAAGGCAAAATTTATGGCCTTATCTAAGACCCTCATTTTTGCTGAATACTAGGCAGAACAGGCCTTTAAAAGTTTTAGAACACAAAATTTAAGCATGATAAGGAGTAGGAAAAAAAAATTTATAATAAAACATGAATAATTTATCAGTACTTATTTTTCACATAATCATAATGACTGGTAAAATTTACTGGACACTTCTTATTCTTAACCATGTGTTGACAGTATGCATTGCTAACAAACAAACTGAAAATTGCAATTTTAAATAACTGGCATTGATTGGTAAAAAGCTTATTAATTTTTAATGCACAACTATATGTATAAACATGTATATGAATATGTATATGTGTAATGTAAGGCAGTTATATATATATATAAAAATAAGGAGCTGTGGTATGATTGCTTATGAGACAACTATCCACCAAAGTTCATATGAAGTGGCCATGGACATTGTGGATGTAAGTATTTATAGGCAATCTTCAACAATGTGAAAAACCCATACCGAATAGTCGGCTTTAAAACATACATCATTATTGAATATATATATATATTATATAATAAATCTTTCATCATGTTATTGTTTTATTTCAGTACGATGCTCTATATTGGGTTGAAGCAGAAAAGGAGCCAGTTCTACGTACAAGGCAGGCTAAAAGACGACATCGGGAATTTATTAATTTACATTCTAGATTAGAAGATAATACTTTGTACAAAAAAAGTCTGAAAGGTAATGCAAACAAAATGTAGCCAAAACGAGCACAGTATTTTGTGCTAATCATGATCTTTGACGTTTTTATCACATGCTTATTATTATGTACATTTAGGGAATTATAAGAATTTAAAAAAATGTGAAGCAAAATTTATTTGACCTGCATGAAAATTTGGTGAATATTGGCTTCATCAGTTTAGTAAATTATCAAAATTGGCTACCTTCAAGACAATTGTTTTAATATACATGATATAAAAAAAGTCATACATCTACATGTACATTAATTTTTTGCAACATTGCATTGTTTTCTTAAGAAAAATTTGGGGAGAAAATTAGCTGTTTTATATTTTCCATACACAACAAATTATCTGGAAACAGCTTTAATATTGTTTTCCCAAATTGCACAGATTGTAAGCTTGATTTTACTTCTTTTAGTAGCTCTTACTTGACTGAGTACCAGAATGCCCTACCACAGAGTAGGTAACCTGTAGAAAAATTATAAACTTGGGAAACAGTAATATGAACATAGTTTTTCATGTTACAATATGTTTACAGTTCTTGACTACTTTATTCAGAAAATCATTCTTTAATATGCCTGAGATACCAATTTTTCCTGAATTTGTTGGTAAGTGTAAACCTTGAATTAAAAAAACTGTACAAATACAAATATTTCGTTATTTTGATAATAGAAAATGATGTCCAGATCCTCTTGAAATAGCTAATTTTTCTGCGGCCATGAAAATGATTTTAACAATTAATAAATGAATGCACATTAACAACAACAACAATACTTTATTATATTTTAGTCAATAAATTTTACTGTTTTATTTTTACAGGAGTTAAAGGTCCAAAGAGATGGCAAACTCTACCATTTGGAAATTTGAACAAGAAAAGTATTGAAGACAGAAGAAAAAACTTAGAGGCTTACTTAAAGGTATCTAATTATAGTTATCTATATCTTTACACTGAGCATTATATATTATGCCTGCAAATGTTAAAATGAGCATAGAACCCGACATATTTGGACTATTTCTATTCTTTAATGAATATATGTAATTTGGAATTTTTTTTTTTTTCGAAACAGATCAATTAGACATGTTCTTAAGACAGCCGATTTAATTTGATGAATCAAAAAGTTTCTGAAAGACCAAAAGGTTACACAATTTTAAGGGGCATTAGCTATGATTTAGACCAAAAAAATAAAAGTAATATTTTACTTTTGGCAGTTAGTTTGGTTCAATTTTGTCAAAATAAGCTAAAAACACTATTGCAGGTGAACAAATGTTTTATTAGCTTCAAGTCGATAGTTCAACCTCATTTGAATCCGCATTTACCTGACCTTTGACATGTTTGATTTTGTGTCTTATTTTGTAAAAATTACAGTACATCTTACATTGTCTAAGGCGAATAAGTTGACAAATCACTCTTGCTGGTGTTGAGAGAATCACTGGGGAACAGGGTAATTACTGGTGATTTGGTGTGATACCGCTCTGATTATATCACATTCAGCTTATGGAATAGTTCAGATGGGAATCACCAAAATTCATTATGAAAAATCACCAACACAAGGGATTTTTAAATGAATCATTTTATGTGAATTGAATACAAGTACTAACATACTTATAGCCATGGTTTATGGACATTTGGAATGAGCAAAATGGCCATGGAGTGTACTTTTACAAACTAAAAAACTTTGTAATTTTCATTTCAGTCATTGATCCAGATAGATGATATATGTAATGGTGCTGAACTGAATGAATTCTTGGCGTATGAAGGGGATGGCCACATTGCATTTGTCAGGAAAACACCGGAAAATAGTATACCAAGATTTGATAAGGTAATAATAAGTACATGTTTATGGAGAAAATACTACATACTTTTAGAGTTATGCCCCTTTACAAATGGAAAAATTACCGAATTTTTCGTTTCCGTTTTCTAACTTAAGTTTGCCTCAACCAAATGTTATGAAACTTATACACAATGCTTATTACCACAAAACTCAGATCAAGTACAAATTTTGGTAGTGTCACTTTTACCGTTCTTGAGTTATGTCCCTTTATAAGGTTATATGCAAGCGGGGCATCACCTGTGTCCCATGGACACATTCCCCATTTATTTAAATTCTATTGCAATAATTCAGTGTTTTTCCCATCAATTTCATATATAGCATCCTAGTAAAAAGGGAATTTTCAAATACAATCTTGTTTCTTTGAATTGTTTATAAGCATCACATCCATAACACAATATTATGGAAAATAATTTGGGATAACATCACAATCAGGCAATATATTCCATCACAGGTCATACCTGCCAATCTCTGAAACCTTCAAAGAGGGAGATCTCCCCCTCAGCTATGACAGCTGAGGGGGAGATTTTGCGCGAACGACATTTCAAGCTAAATATATGATCAGTACACTATATACATCTACAAAACACCAATACAAGTTAATAAATATAATTTTATTTCTTTAATTCATTGTTGTAATCAACACAGGCACTTTTTGCCTTTTTCAGTAACTCTATGTCAGGAAAATAATTATAACAGTCAACACTTTGATTTTGTTTTGTACATATAAGTGAGCATATAGTTTCATTTGACAATTCTGATCTATGTTCTGTTTGAATTTTTTTCAACATTGAAAATATTCTTTCACTATCAGCATTACTGTTAGGAAGGACAACACAAGCCAGGGCCAACTTTGACAAATTTGGAAATCTCTGTTGTGTTGAAAATAACTCCTTAATATCACTCATTTCCCCCAAAAAAGTGCCAACATCTGTTTCTCCATCAGTCCATTTTGGAAGCTCATCTGCTGAAGCCAACTGGAAATCCAAAATTCAAAGCGGGAGGGTTGGCAGGTATGGAATAAGGGAATGCTGGGTTTCTGATGCTATAAGGCCCTGTGGATAACGCTGAATAAGGGAATGCCCGGGTTTCTGATGCTATAAGGCCCTGTGGATAACACTGAATAAGGGAATGCTGGGTTTCTGATGATATAAGGCCCTGTGGATAACACTGAATAAGGAAATGCTGGGTTTCTGATGCTATAAGGCCTGGTGAATAACACTGAATAAGGGAATGCTAGGTTTCTGATGCTATAAGGCCCTGTGGATAACGCTGAATAAGGGAATGCCTGGTTTTCTGATGCTATAAGGCCTGGTGGATAACGCTGAATAAGGGAATGCCTGGTTTTCTGATGCTATAAGGCCTGGTGGATAACACTGAATAAGGGAATGCTGGGTTTCTGATGCTATAAGGCCTGGTGGATAACACTGAATAAGGGAATGCTGGGTTTCTGATGCTATAAGGCACTGTGGATAATGCTGAATAAGGGAATGCCTGGTTTTCTGATGCTATAAGGCTTGGTGGATCACACTGAATAAGGGAATGCTGGGTTTCTGATGCTATAAGGCACTGTGGATAACACTGACTATGGGAATGCTGGGTTGAAATCTTGTGTCAATTCCAAAATATATACTGTAAATTCAGAAATTATAACGAGATTTTTATTATTGTGAATAATGCAACTTCGTGACTATCGCAAGAATAAGAACTTACATTCTGATATTTGATACATATATCTTTATGGAGATTTTCCTAAAATCGCAATAATCAATCTCGCATTTTTGTCCATTCTTCAAAAATCGCAATAATAAATGCACACATTCATTTCTGAATTTACAGTATTCAAATCTATCCAAATGCTCTAGATTTTGATATGAACTGAATAAAAGATTTCAGATAAAATTGAGAATGGAAGATGTATGCATCGGGTGAATTTTTAAAGGACTTCATGGTAAAAAACATGTTGTTATCTGGCTGAAATGCATTTCTTTCTGAATGACGTGAAAAAAAACTTTATTTACCAGACAAAAATTATAAAAAAGTTCTGAAATCTAGTTTCTTCATTTGACCATACCCCCCTCTGTGGTATCATGCTAATGAAGCTCACTTTGAGTATGGGAGGATGAAGTTTCCCTGGCAAGGGCAATTCAAAAACTTCATTATAGTTATTTCTGTAGAGTATAGTCTGCTGATCAAAAACTTCATTATAGTCATTTCTGTAGAGTATAGTCTGCTGATCAAAAACTTCATTATAGTCATTTCTGTAGAGTATAGTCTGCTGATCAAAAACTTCATTATAGTCATTTCTGTAGAGTATAGTCTGCTGATCTTCTTTTTTGACAGATGATTGTGAAGACGATGTCTGGAGTTTTTGACGAGATAATAAAGATTCCCAGTCGTGTCAACTTTCCAAGTCTGCCTGGTAAAAAGGATACCAACAAAGAAATTGAAAAGAATGATTGTGATCAGATAGCTGTGGACTTTGACCACGATACAATATGTGTAAATATTATAAATAATCACAGAGCTTTTCATTTAAGATAATTTGTGTAAATAGAGCTAAGAATTTACTTTTATTAACTTGAAAATTTTTCTTGAAGATCATATTTATTACTTAATTAATATTTGAGTTTAATGTAAATGAACAGTAAACAAACAACACAAAAAAAAATCAAAAAGATATCTAGGTCAAGATACAGTCTTCAACAATAGATTAGTGTCTTTAGTACTCTTTACAGTATGTTAAAGTCTAACTGACCAATAAAGAAAGCCATTGATATTGTTCCTGACTTGTGACAGACACAGGAATGTGTGGTAGGATTTAACCCTCCCCTTCTTATCTCATTCAGTGGAATAACAAAAGCTACATAGATAAAAATAGAATGAAAAAATATGTACAGAAAAAGCACTACTCTACAATACTTGTCTTATAGATAACATAAAGTAGAGATGCTGTTGTGTAGCAGTTGAAACTGAAATACATTGAAAAAAATGATATAAAAAAAGTTTGTAAAATTTTTTTTATAAATTTGTCTGATTGCCCTACACAACATTCAGAATAAATAGGTTTTGGAATTAATTTATAGTTAAACAAATACAAATAGCTTTTACCTTTTTTTAAAATTTATTCAACAGACCAAAACATGGTAGTTGACTTCCAACACTGTACAGGATGTACCGTCAGTTAACAAAACCATATCAAAGTACTCTATCATTGGTTGTGTTAGAAGTTCATTTATTTGAACTCCCATGATTTGAATATCTACAGTTACAAAAATGTTAAATAGGTAAAAAAATGGGCACACAAAAATGTCCCTTTTGCTTAATTTTTTTTGTCTCTGTTCACAATTTGACCTTAATATTTAATGGAGAGTGCATTCAGATAATTCCACTCATATTAAAGGTCAATCCTACAATTACAGGAAAGCCAACAAGAAAAGCTACAAGAGTTTGTTAAAATTTGTGATTGTCCATTTTTCACGTCAGAAGATTTAACTCAGAACAAATTAGAGAAGTCAGCAGGTATTTAACAATTTAACAATATGCCAATATTTAAATAAGGTGTTATTTATTAATTAAAATTGGCATCACTGAATAGACTCATACAAAATGTTAATAAACACTCTAAGAGACTGAATATGTGAGGGATCTACAGCCTATAGAGACACTTAAAAATAAAAAATAAAAGAAATTTAATTTTTTAACCCCCCCCCCCCCCCCCCTTTTTTTAACAATAAATGGACTTAATTTGTGGCCATCAACATGACATCTTTACACTGACAGCAGTGTTCTGTGGAATTATTTACAAACTTTGTCCAAATTCGTTTTAATGTGTAAAAAGGACCAAGACTCACGAACAACACATCAATAAACACGGGAAGAAACACATATAATCTTAACAATTCATGAACTTTTCTATCATTAGTTTTTAAAATACACATTTGCCAGGATCAGAATGCAATTATACATGTAGTGTTGTACATACTTTTAGATTATCGATGTTTTTTTCAAAACAAGAGGAGTATTTCTCAGCTACAATTTCATCAAGTTTGAAAGACCATTTATAATCTGTTTATCGCTATTTTGACTATGATGTCGTTGATGTTTGCATTGACAAAGTCACATGCCCCCTTAGTTTCTGACTATAATTTTCTATCTCAAGCGAGTAGCATGATGTGAAATTATGGGATAGGGCCCTATGGGGATATATATACTTATACTGAAACCTATATTATTCTTCATGGTTGAATTTCTTTCAGATCAATTATCAGAAGAAGATATATCTTTAGCAGAAGCTGTTGTAGATATTGGCGTACAAACTTTACAAGGGAAAGATAACTGGGTCTGCAGAGAAAGGGTCATTATTGTGGTGAAACATTTGATAGGGGTCATTCTAGACAGGTAGGAATACAGATGCAGTCATTTTATATATATATGTCTTACAATATTTTCCCACTTCAAAATAAAGATGATTATGACAATTTGTTTACATAACCACAGAGATGCAATTGGGTGTATGAACAGACAGTGGCGGATCCAGAACTTTTCATAAGGGGGGCCCACTCCGGTCATGCTTCAGTGATTCCCTATATAATCAACCAAATTTTTCCAACGAAAAGGGGGGCCCGGGCCCCCCCTGGATCCGCCTATGACAGAGCCAATTGGGTGTATGAACAGAGCAAAACAATATAAAGGTGATGTATAAAAAATAACAAAAATTATGACATTTGATTTGCATAAACATGTATCTTACCAATAGCAAGGAGTCCTAGGTTTATAATTTCGACCCCAAAGGTTGACTAGGGTATAAAAATATGGTAATTCCTTGCTCTTCTTCCGATTGGCAGAAAAACCCTTGTCATATGGGGGAGACTGTTTGGCTGTGCTGTATGTATGAATTAGCAATGATGTCCATTTAAAATGGGGGTGTTCAATCTGATGCCTCATGTAGAAAGAGTGCCACACTCTCTTCATGTTCATAGCCATTACAACATCTCTTTTTCAGGTTTTTAGGTGGTCTGTGGCAAGGCCAAATTTCTATCCAATATATTATCATTTTTGGGTGGCATTCCAAATTTTCCTTCCCTCATCCTGATTAATCCTTTATTATAGGACCTACCTTTTGTATTTTTTGTTAATAAGGACCCCGCCGAATGGCGGACGCCCTATAGTGATCTGTCCGTCCGTAACATTGGTCCGTTATGATTTCAAACTTTATACTTGACATGTATATTAACCAACACCAGAGGGTGTGTCATGATGTATGTACAACTTCCTAGGTCAGAGGTCAAGGTCAAAAACTTTGGTTTTAGTTGACAACCCCATGTCCTATGGTAAAGATCGTGTCCGCTCTATATCTTGAGAACCGTTATGATTTCAAAGTTTATACTTGATATGTATATAAACCAACACCAGAGGGTGTGTCATAATTTATGTACAACTTCCTAGGTCAAAGGTCAAGGTCAAAAACTTTGGTTTCAGTTGACAACCCCATGTCCAATGATAAAGATACAAATTTTTTACCACACATTATTCACAGCGGGGCCCACAGAGATGGCTCACATCTCAATGATATCTAGTTTGTTCTTGTCCTGAAAATGATTGAAATATTTTCCCCTAGATGTTAAGCAAACATCAATCGATCAATTTAAGATGTTCATTAAAAGGTTAAAAGGGGAAAAGAGATTATAAATTGAATAAAGACTTGTTCAAGATATTTTATAAATATTGTATATTAAGATGGGTACACAAACAGATAGAAGTTATCGCCTCATAAATAATAATATTATTAATGACTAGTTATAATTTGTACTGCGTATTTAGATGGTTAAGGGACCAGATCAGAGATTTGACATCAGAACAGATGTGTGTGAAGTATCTCCAGTTGTTACGAAGGACTGTGTGGCCGGACGGAGAATTGTTTGAAGGTGGCAGACCAGTAAAGACAGACAGACAGAAAGCTGCAACTAAAGAACAGGCTAGAAGATGTCTGGCTCAGTTTTTTCCAGGTAAAGTTTTAAGGGGTTACAGAACAGTAGGCCCCCTTTTGTGTACTACCTGCACCAATGACCACCTAATTTATAAGAACCAAAACTTTCAGGATTTATCCATTTTGATGAGAATGACTTGTTAAGCATGGTAATCCCTTTAATTTTAGAAAGTTGTAATTTTTTCTTTAAATGTGACCATCAGACTGGTTTCTTGTTAAATTTAAACAATAAAAAAAGTTGCAATAAGTGTAACTTTTGGACCGATGTCATAGCATTAATCATGTTAATAAGATCATGTGGCAAGTCTGCTTTCTGATATCATGTTTACTATTTTGCATGATAATTATAATGAACAAATATATGGTAAAAAAACACTTAAATAATTCAGTGGAAAATGATTATTTTTAACTTTCATCAATAATGTTATAGTTCTCATCTTTTTGGGTTTCAGTTCATTGTTTTATAATGGGTAAACTGTTGAAGAACAGCAGCTAAACATATATATATATATATATAACATTTTGTTAAATGATTATTTTTCTGTAGAAGAGGGGCGGAAGGACCTCATTTCAGGACGTCAGGATTGGGCCTTTATTTTTGTGGGAATTCAGGATTTACACTTGTCGGGACTCTAGAATTAATGATTAATTTTGGGGATCTGGGTAAGAATGCTTAATTTTTTTCGGGAGTTCAGGATTTAACGTTTGTTTTTCTGGGAATTTGTAAAAACTCCCCATTCTAACCATCCGTAGAACTTTGGAATGTTGCTTCATGTCTGCCCAAAATCAATATAACTTGATATGTGTCAAAAAATCAAAGACACCACCCATTTAAATGATACTAGATGTTTACAACAGCTTCTCTATCAAAATCAGTATTTTGCCATTCAAGAATCCTAATTGATGGAAATAAGACATCAAAAGATCAGTCATCACTCATCATTTTTTATTTTTTACATTGATATGTGATAAAAAGTCAGGATGTGAGTGGTCCATGGGAGACAACTCTATCTTATACTATGTTAAATGATATTGTATCCAACTAATAATGTTCAGCCACAAAAACATTAGTTACTGTACTTTACATGCATAAGAAATAAATAGAAGTTAATTAATACTTATTACACTGGTGCTATGCCAGGACTGACATATTTTGTAAGCATCCACAAAATTTTACTACAAAAAATTTGAGCGAGTTTTACAGAATAAAAAAGAATATAAGTTTTTAAAAATGTTGAATTTATATGTATTTATTTTTATGAAGATATGTTAATTTTTAGATACACTAAGAAGTCTGGTTGGAAAAGAAGATTTTGACCATGGCATCAACGAAATAATTGAATCTTTGCAATATAAAAAACTGAACAGGTAAGCTTTGACTCTGGAATCTTGACTGCTTCTCTAGCTGAAGTGTTATTAATTGGCAACAATAACCTTTTATTCGTGAAGATAACTATACTTTTCTTGAAAAATATTAGGCGAAATTAAATCATTAGGATCGGTTTAATCACAAAGGGGTGAAAAGATTTAAATTTAAAGCCATAAATGCTCTGACTTTTTATTCCACCAAAATTTAGAGATGTCCGTGTGAGGAAAATTTTTTATGAGCGATTTTGCTATAGAACCTTTTTATCAATGTATGTTTTATTTTACATTTAGGTACATGTTTTTAAATCCAAAGATGTAATGTCATCGACATTCAGCAATAAATTCCACTTACACCTGTTTCAGGGCTCATCTCAAACTTTTAGTGCTATGTGTAGAAGGTCCCTTTTCAACTTTGAGATGAAGAACAAATATTAAAGCAAGTTTCCTTTGGTTTGATTTTAAGTCCTTGTAGAAATTTTTTTTGTAATGATTAGTACACTGTAAGACTTTTTTTTCGATTATGTGCTCACAGAGGTATTTTCATTTAATCTATTTGCAGACACTTGATTTATACATTAATGGACCAATTGATGGACAGTTTGTATCCAGAAATCAGGAACAGAAAAAGTTCTACATAGATACAGGAAACCAAGGACTTAATTACCAAACAGGACAAAGCTGTCTCTTTCTTTACTAAAAATTTTATTAAGTTTTCTTTTAGCATGTTAAGTTGTAGGCCACAAACAGGATTATTGTCCCTTGCCATGTGGGCCAAGTTTTTCATGGGTGTATGGGATGTTGACCATTTTATGGATTATTGTATATGCAACTACTCTGAGAACATATTCCAGACAGCTATGATACTTGATAGGATGGTGTGTCATTATGTGTAATTGACCACAGGTATTTGAGGACAGGAAACCCTTTGGGTGCCCCTGAGTGGGAGTATCCGGAATGACCCCCTATGTAGTTTTATTTAAATACATTTTTTTATTAAACGTTTATATAAATTGTTTTGACCAGGAATACATTTTGAAGTTACTGACAGACAGAATTTGAGATATTTGCTGGCTTTCGAGGTACTCCAGCTCAGGGGCACTCAGAAGATTACCTGTGTAATTGACTGTACAATACCTTCAATTCCATTGACAATTTATGCAGAAAATATGAGACTTTGACTATTGTTTGGTCTTCAACTCCTCTGAGACTGTTTGACAGAAAAATATCATACTTTATATAGGATGGGTTAACATCTTATGTAGTTGAATACATGTTACTGTCATTTTGATTTTGACAATTGTTATGGAAGTTATGAGACTTTGACCAATTTTGTACTATTGTAATTTGTTGATGACTGATTTTAATGGCAGAAAGTTTTTGAAGTTAAAAGTTGGAGTAACATATTTTTGTTTTTATATTTATTTTATTGTTATAAAGATTTATATTGAACTTCATTAATAGGGCCATATTGCTGTTAAAAATTCCTTGTGTTCAAGATATAGGGTATTGGTAACATTTACTGCAGAACTTGTATTAGATATTCAGCCATGGTTTTTTTTATATTTCAAAAAGTTTATACAATAAAAACATTGTCAAAGTTAGAACTGTCAATTGGAAACACATGTACCTTAGGGACTTATCATTTTATAACTGGGAGGAGGGGGAGGGCTGGTCATTTTGAAGTCAAACATAAAATTTTCTTGATCCCCCCCATAATATTTCACTATTTTTATTTAATCCCCCCCTTAAAAACATTTAAAAAAAATGTGATCCCCCTCTGATTTTAACATGCAAAACACTTACCTTTGACACACATACATGACATATGTAGGATATACCTGAAGATTCAAAAGTTCACAAATGTTTCATTAGAGATAAAATTGACCCCCCCCCTCCCCCCTAGGTAAAGAATGATAACTCCCTTATGAGTATCATTTAAAAAACATTTTAAGATGATTTTGCTCTAGGACTTATTTAACATTGTATGTATTATTATACTCTTAAGGTACATGTTCTTAAATCCAAAGAAGTAATGTCATCAACATTTAGCAATAAATTCCACTCAAACATTTGCAGGGGGTCATTTCAAACTTTTAGTGATATGTGTCAAAGGTCACATTTCAACTTTGAGATGATTCTTTTTCTTCTTGATCAGGAGACAAAATTATCCAAGGGCAATAATCATTGATAGATTTCAATTGATGTCATTTGAGTTTGAGTTACATCCCTTGACCACTATGTTGGATAAACCAAATTTAGACATGTGGTACAAGCCAGTCTGATAAAAGTGTCAAAATGTATAAGAATAATGATGGACCTTGTACAATATGTTTTTAGTGATAAGATATTTCGAATGTGCAATATGTATCATTAGTTAGAGATATATGTGTGTGAAATTTTAATATTTTTTTTCTCAAATGTACTGCTCTTAAGCATAACCAATTGTTAGCTGTAGGTTATAAGGTGAACACTTACTAATTATTGATAGCCTTGAATATACAAAAATCTATCTTTTGTCATATTTTTTACAAATAACTGTACTAAGTTTTACTTTTATAAAAGTTGTTATTTTAATTATTAACAAATGTTTGAAATGGCATACATTTAATAGTGCAATTTGTATAAAGGGGTGCATAGTGGTAGTGCAATTCTAAATATTTATCATTTAACTAAAAGTACATAAATTCATTTTTTATGAATTATGAATTAAGAAAACAATGAATAAATAAAGAATATCACATATATATTAAATCCTGAAAATCTCTTTACACGCATACAATTTATAAAATGTTATTTCATATCATATCTTCTGAGTAACATTCACAAGTTGTTGACCTGTTTGTCCTCTAAGAATGGTGAATATCTGCAGAGTAATATATAGTTTGATGTATTTTTAATTTTTTTACCCGTTTTATGTCTTTTAGTATGATGGTTTTGCCCAAGTCTGCATACAAGCCTATAGTAAATTTATACCTTGTACATTAAATTTGTGGTTCACGTATACCCATGAAATCTATGAAAAATTGGTATCCATGGAATAATAATGAACCACAGTAAATGGCATTGCAGAGCGAGAAAGACTTGCTATAGATATCCTTTGGCATATAAAAATTGCCTTATAGCTTATGGTTAAGATCCCACAACTCTGAAATGACAAAACTAGAATTTTAAAAATAGAATGCGAGCTTATTTTCACAAATCCTAACAACAATATAAAGCTTAAAGTATTGCAATGTTTTATGCTTACAGGGCGTGGTAATAGATTTCACGATTTTCATGACCATTCCATAATTGGCATGTTTTGTAAACTTGGTTATTATTATCATAATTGTTTTATGAATGTCGTGTTATGTAAAGTTGAATTTATGCAGCTTTACCACCAGGAGTTTTTATTTAATATTATGGAAGTTTTTGAAACTTAGTTTTTTTTTTAAACATCTCAATATATTGAAAAAAGTTTTGTCAGGGAAAAATCTGGTTACTGCTTTTTAATCTACAAAGTTTATGTATATTTATGTGTTCTTTAAATATGACGTGATAGATACTTCTAGTCGTAACCATGTTGCCATGTATATCCTTTAGGCTTATTCCAGGGATAAAATTATGAGGATTAGAATTTGTTTAAAAATTGGATGTATAATGTTATTGAAATGTTTTGGCAAAATACTATTGTTTTCATTATCATCATCTGAATGTTTTAAGTGTGCCTTGTGTATATTATATGTGCACTCTAAATGCTGTTTTTAATATAATAATACTCGATGTGATGAACATGGGTACTGTAATTTGTAAACATGGATATTTCCCTGTGTTGTTATTTTTGCAATTACAATTTTTAATAGTTCAAGCAGAAGTTAAATTTATGCATCAAAAGACTAATGCACCATTCAAATCAATGTTGTTTATTTTTATAAACTTTTCAGGTTGGGATATTTTCCCCCAATTCACAAAATTTAAGCAAAACTAATTCATGAACATTTCAAGAGGAAAGAAGTTAAATTTGTGCATCAAAGATGAATGCACCATTCACATCAATGTTGTTTATTTGTACAAACTTTTCAGTCAGGGATATTTTCCCCCAATTCACAAAATTTAATCAAAATAACAGAAAAATTTCTACATGTATCATATTATTCACCTGTGTGTATAATGACACAATATTCAAAATGTGTGAAAGAAACCAAAGGGAATATTCAAATACATATGCCAACAACAAACTGACAACCCATGGCAATAAAAGGAAAAACGACCAAAAGACAAACAACAGTCTACAAATCACAACATATAAAATAAAAGACTGAGGAACAGGAACCCCTTAAAAAAGGGGGGGGGGGTGATCTCAGGTGCTCTGAAGGGTAAGCAGATCCTGCTTTCCAAGTTGCACTTGTCGTACGCGTGTTGCTCATGCAAGTACAAATTTGGTGATAAGTCTCATTCAGTAGGTCACATTGGAGGAAAAGAGGATTAGATTGTAATTATAATAATTGGAACATATCATTAGTCATCTGTGAAACAAGTCATCTGTGAAACAAGTCATCTGTGAAACAGATATTTGATAAAGGTCAACATACATACACATGATGGCCTCTGTGAAATTTTCAAGGGATGATTTCAACTTCACCACTTGTAACCCTAGGTTTAATAGCTTCCTTGTTAGCAGCAACCCTCTATCAAGAAAACAAAATTATAAGAAACTTATGCTCTGGATTATCGTATCCTTTGTGAGATATAAACTCCATATATATATATATGTATACACTGCTTGAATGTTGTGACGTAGAAAAATGAAAGTTCACAATTGGAATGCTGAAATCATCTCTTTTGTCTTAAAAGTTTGTACTCAACCAACCCTTATTGTCAATTTTAGAAGTTAAAAAGTGTTGTAACATGCATGTGTTGGCCCCAAAAAAATCATTTGACATGTGGAGACATTTTGAATGCACAACTTTTAAAAGTATATACATGTCCATGAGCATGGTTTCAGGAAATAATCATTTGTGTTTTAAATTGACTATATGTTTTGAACATTTTTTTTTTACAAATGGCTTGGGAAATTTAGTTGTGTTATATCAATAGGCATTATTGTTTTTTTCATAGCATCAAAATGGTAAAACTGAGAACCTAATGAAAATGTTGTAATTTTGAGCATTGAAGAACTGGTTTGTAAAAGTATTGATTGCCTTTTTAATATTAATTTGCTATGCATGTTTTTTTATTATTTTTATCTTTCCAAAATTTTAATTCACTATAGGTCATCTTTGGAAAAAGATTTTATTTAGTTAATAATAAGAAAAATTCTAGATTTTCACCACCAACCTCCTCTCCCTTTAGCCCTGTTTTATTTTATCTCTGGCTTATTACTTTTTTTTGCTCCAAGATTTTACAAAAATAGCAGAAATATACCACTTCCCCTCAAATTGTTCAAAAAGTAAAATGAGAATCTTGGAATGGTTAATTTTTTAATGATTAAATTTGCTTATTATCAAATGTCATGATTTTTTATATTTGAGAAGAAAACAGCCACATTCTGCAAAGATTATTTTTTTAAAGTTTACTGTGATATTTATTAAATTGTATAATATATTGGTTTAGTTGAACTAAATAGTAAGGAAATGAGAGAACATTTTTTACTCAGTTATATGAGGGTCTTGATGAAAAAAAATAAATAGAGAAAAATGGGCTTAAAAATTAAAGAAAACAGAAATGAAGGACCCCATCCCTACCCCCTTATATCAATATTACAACAAAGGAATTATGGAAGATCTTTCAATTTATATTTAAAGGAAGTAGTCATGTGACTTTAGAACGTTAATCAAAGAGGGGGAATCCAAAGGCACCATATATTGATGATGAAGGGGTTCAAAATATCTTTTCACATAATAATACATTAAATTTCTAATTAATAGTGAATGTGTTGAGGTCGCGTAGTGATTTCCAGCTTCCCCTTACATTTGATTTTGGAATAGCCCTCACCATTATAGATAACAGGTTTTGTCCTTCTAGATGTGAGCTTTATTTGACATTGTAGAAAATTGACTTTTGATATTACTACATGTGTCAGTAAACAAAATTAATTTATAATATATAGGGCAGAATGATGGTGGTTGTATTTTTAGAGACCTGCAAGGTAAAAGCAGAATTATTGATAGGGCTGGGTCCCACATAATCAGTATGCATTCCAAGTAGATTTGATATTTATTGTTACTAGTAAGGTACTTATTTTGTGAATTTCCATGAAGCATGAATTCAAGAGTTTAGTAAAATGCAAATTTTCTACAAACCTAAAACTCGAAAACTGTTAAAACTATGAGATCAAAATAAAAAAATAATATATACTATTATACAATGTACAAATTATTTATTTTATTCTCTCAACTTTTGTCTTATTTTTATAGAAATCAACATGGTTAAAACTTTGACTGTGTAACAATCTGATGAAAATAAAGATCCTGTGTCATTGCTTCGCTTTCAAGAATTTGATAATACTCTATCAACCAATGAAATCTCTGCCTTCAAATTTTGAAGGGGTGTAGTATTTGGATAAAACCTGAGGATCCCGAAAGTCCTTTAAAACAGAAAGTAGAATGTAGCATTGTCAGATCCTTGTAAACAAAGTGTGAACACAGGATCTGTATTTAAATCAGATTGAAAATGTACAGAACTCAAAAATCAACTGTTACTGTAACAGTAATTTAAACATTACTGTTCACTAAACATAATAAGCAAGATAAGTTTAAAATTGTTACTGTATACCTGTTAGGGAGCAACGATTTAACTTCAAGGGGGGGGGTTATGAGTTTTTGTCCAAGTCAGAAATTTGTTTTCGTGCAAAACACCAACATTTTTTTTAGTTGTTTGACGCTATCATACAAATTAGTTTTTTTGCAAAATTTAACACTATAAGGTATGGGGAAAATCTGGATTTTTTTTTTTGTCATCTGCTTGACCACAATATTTTTTTTTCATCAAATTGGGGATCAGAATTTTTTTTAGGAAAAAACCATAACCCCCCTCCTTGAAGTTACATGGTTGTTCCCTTATTTGAACAACATCTGGCTAATTGCAGGAAAAAATAGTTGCCAGAATCAACAAAAATAAATAAATCCACTGTAATCAGTATGTTTAGTAATAACATTTAATATGTCCTGTTTTATAAGATTGTACTGAAATGTGATATGTTGTGATTAATAAATTTTGTGAAAAAAGAAAAATGTATTTTCTGTGTGAAATAGTTGAGATATTTATGACAGTATTTGTTTGATTTCTTTGTCTATAATTTGTGTTTTAATACCTCAATGCATATATGTATTGGGATCAAATTCCACTGACACCTGTGACAACAGCATCTTATAATTGCAGTGAGTTATGAGCTTGAGTAAACTGCTGAAGGTATCACTGTGAATTTAAGGTGAACAACTTAAAAAAAAGCACTTTTCTATTACTTTTTGTTTTGTCAAGAGCATCAAGATATAATACACCATATCCTATCTTTTCCATGGATGTGAAGTGATTTATTTTCACAATGAGTACCAGTATATAACTTTAGTTATTTTTAGGGTGAAAGCTGTTAATGAGGGTTTCATTTTAGCATTTTCTTGTCAATGATTAGGGCCTTTTGTAAAGATTTAATATGAAATTAGATCTTAATCATCTAATTAGCACACAACAAAAATGTCTGGCAAATTTCACACTTAAAAACAGTCCTCACAATTAGTGTTTTAATCTATAGGCCCAAAGCTGATTTTACGAAAAATTTTAGTTAGATTCTATTGGCCTGTAGATGTTTTTACAGGCCCAACAGCATTTCTTCAATAAAATTGAGAATGGAAATGATTAATATGTCAAAGAGACAACAACCCGACCAAAGAGCAGACAACAGCCGAAGGCCACCAATGGGTCTTCAACGCAGCGAGAAAATCTCGCACCCAGAGGTGGTCCTCAGCTGGCCCCTAAATAAAATTGTGTACTATTTCAGTGAAAATGGACGTCACACTAACTCCAAAACATATAAATGAACTAAAATTAAAAAACATACAAGACTAACAAAGGCCAGAGGCTCCCGACTTGGGACAGGCGCAAAAATGCGGCGGGGTTAAACATGTTTTGTGAGATCTCAACCCTCCCCCTATACCTCTAGCCAATGTAGAATAAAGAAACACATAGCAATATGCACAGTAAAACTCAGTTTAAAAGAAGTTGGAATCCAATGTCAGAATAGGTACCAAAAGAAACTAAGCAAAATGACAATGATACATAAATGAACAAAGGACTACTAGCAGTTACTGACATGCCAACTCCAGACCTCAATTAAACTGATTGAAAGATTATGTCTTCATCATATGAAAATCAAGCCTGGGCTGTGGTTGAGTGTGATGACGAACTTAACAATGTCATGATCCATCTCTTAGTAGCTTTTCTTTGCCCTTTGTACAAGGAAAGACATATTTCATGTGTAGCTGACCATTTGAAAAAGAATTCTTGTAGACTTCTGCTCCCGGACATTTTCTTTTCCAACAGTCAAGAGTTGACATATTAAAATACCACACCAATTGCAATATTTGATTTATTTGAGAGAGAGCAATGAATTCTCAAACTATGTGAACTCATTACAAGTAAGAACATGTGCACTTCAAAAGATTTCTTTTGACCTTGACCTCAGACAGTGCATTTCTCTTTCAAATATATCAAATGTTTAATTCACAAGATTGAAACTTCTAATTTTGCCACTGGAGCAAGAACATAAGATCAAAGCTATGCTCCTCACAACAAATCCGTACATCAAACATTATTGAAGTATTATGTAAATTTAAGGAGGAACAACCAGAAAACTTTATCTGACCACAAGAGTGTGAAGATGAAATCAAGGAAATGTAAAAAAGATTGCTACGCCGTAGCGAAATATTCCGTGCTGTAAAAATTAGGAATTAAATTGTGTCACAACTTGTTATTTAGGAACAATAGTCAGAATATGGTAAAAGTCCAATAACTCAACAAAATGGTCAAATCAAAATGAATCAACCGTTGGGTCAGGTGAGCTAAAATAAAAAGTTGAAGTCCAATATCAAAACTGTACAATCAAACTGACAATAAAGCACTGTCAAGAGAATATGACCAAAATAAATCTACCAAGTAAAAAAGCTTTATGTCAAATAGTTCGATTAGTAATGGGTTTCGACCGACAGACGGAAGGAGACCATTACCATAACCTGCCGCATGGTAATTATCATCTCTACATTTATTCCTCTCAACCATCTCACATACCAAATAATGTATAGTAATTTCAAACCCCCCAGAATGGTTAATTGGACTCCTTTCAAGTCTTTGATAATGGATAGCTGTTTAGGACCCAAATTAAATGCATGTTCAGGATGAGATCACATTAATGTGTAATGAGTATTAAAGCTGTTTTGTACAAAGAGCGACACAGTGAATTGGATTTTTAAAATGCTTTTTCACAAGGTAACAGTCTGCAGGAGTACATGTGACCCTACTCATTCTTCTGACTCTAGGTTGAACAGTTTTGCATTTACTCCAAAATGTTGTGTGCTTAGAAGAGAAGCAACAAATAACAAATTTTAAGTCTTTGGCTTGAACCTTCAGAGTAATCACCCCATGATCTTCTGCGAAACCAGAAGAGCACGCTACCACAACACAAACCAGGCTGTTTCAGGTCTTTATCAAGAAACCATGTTTGTTTTGATCATATTCATGATATTACTATTGAGATATTTTGATTCAACAATATGTAGGGATTGTATAGTCCATTTATTATTAACACTCCATGCTGTACACATTTGAAAGAATATGTAAAGGGATTTCAGTGAGCATGATTAATATTTGTGGAATATCCTATATCAGATATATTCCAAAACAAATGTAAGAAAAGGCAAATAAATAAAAGGTTTGAAGACATATAACCAATAGGACCAGAACAAAAACAGCCAAAACCATCTAATGTTGACTCTGTCTTAAGGAGTAGCATTCTTGATGGTGATAATGATGATGGATCAGTGTTTATCAATGGCAAATGGCAACTATTATAAGCATATCAGGATGAGAATATGTTAAAAATGTGATATGCATTGGAACAATACTTGATTCAAGTGTTTTCTCCAAAATCCAATCCTATTTTCCTCAATTGTGACATCATTTAATGAGACAGATCACAGAATGTGTACTTAACATGGACAACACACCGAATGCCACATGTGGAGTAGGATCAGCTATACATTCTGGAGCATCTGAGATCAGGTCGAGTAGTTCAGTCGTTATTTTTCTATGTATTGTTTGTCTTTCCTTCTAATTATGAATTTTATATTTTCTTTTATATCTTCTTACTCTTTGGTTTTCAACTGTAACACGAAGCTGGATTTTAAATGTGCTATTTTAAAAGGTAACAATCTGCAGGAGTTACAGGTCATATTATTTCACTCCCAAGACAATCATTCTTACTCTTACTCCTTAATGCTGTGTACTTAGTAGAAAAAAAAATATATAAGCAGCAAATACCAATTTTTCAAGTCTTTGGTTCAACCATCCAGGAATCTGTCCCAATACATCCAGCACTCGAGGCGAACAAGCTACCATTAGACAACTTAGACAAGTAGCATCCTTGGTCCTTTGTATACTGTGGATTAGTTTCGATCTCACCTGCGACGAAAGTTGCGGAAAGTGAGACATAGGGATTGCTTTTCAGGCGACGGCAGTGGTGTCAACAATTGTTAAGTTTTCTGCTTAAGTTAGTTTGATAGGAACTACTTGTGACAGATCATTAATATTCAATATAAAGTTGCATTACTATCAGTACATATCAGTTTGATGACTATTTCGAGTCCCTGCCCCCTAGGTTATGGTCCAGCAACTTTGAATTAACTAGCAATTTTCAATGTTAAGTTTTCTGCTCAAGTTAGTTTGATAGGATCTATTTGTGATAGATCAATGATATTTTGTATGAAGTCGCATTACTATCAGTGCATATCAATTTGACGACTATCTTGAGGCCCTGCCCCCAAGTCATGGTCCAGTGACATTGAATTAACAAGTGAAACTGCGAGCTACTGCTCACTGATGATACCACCGCCCAAATATTTCGGTAAACAGGAAGTTGTTAAGTGATGAATCTGAAAAAGCATCACACGGTATAGCTGACTTATATAAACCCTGAAACCAAATTTCAGAAATCCTTATGATGTAGTTCCTGAGAAAGCTGCGACGAAAAATATTCATGTGACGGGTGGACTGACTGACGGATGGATGGAAGGACAGTCAGAGGTAAAACAGTATACCCCCACTTTTTTAAAGCAGGGTTATAATAAGCAATTTTCAATGTTAAGTTTTCTGCTCAAGTTAGTTTGATAG